AAGATTGTGAAGGTAGGAGAAGAAGGGGATGACAAAGGAAAAGATGGTTGGATGGCATCACCAACTCGGTGGACATGAGTTTGAGCAAGCTCCAGGAGTTGGTGATAAGACACGGAAGACAGGCGTACTGCAGTCCATGAGGTCGCAAAGAGTCGGACATGACTGAGCAATTGGACTGAACTGGACTGAACAATGTACAAATCTTAATTAAAGAATACTCTATTGCTCATTATCTGAGCCTTCAGCAAGTCATTTTTTGCGATAGCAATACCAAAAATCACACATTACCATAACACACATAATAAAAGTTGAACTATTGCTGGAATTACCCACAGACATGGAATGTGAACAAATGATGCTGGAAAAAAATGGTACAATGAAAGGTTACCACAAACCTTCAATTTGTGAAAAATGCAGAATCTGTGAAGTACAATAAAGCATAGCACACTAAAACAAGGTACTCTTGTGTTTGAGACACAATATTCGGCTTCCAAGTAAATCACACACACATACACGCATTTTTAGGGCAGAGTTTTATTAAAAATTAACAATGTCCCTGGCTAGTAAATAGCTCTTTGAACTTATCAAGTTTTCTTGTCCCAGTCCCCTCCAGCGAATCTGGCAGTTGCAAACTCCACAGTGAGGGGGAGGTAAAGAGGACCTGGCTGGGGGTGAAAGGCAGCCCTGATTCTCAGGGTGGACAGGGGATAGAGATGTTGAGAGATCCAGTGTGGTCAGGGCCCAGGAATGGCACAGAGTTGGGGAAGTGCCTGCCGGTGGGGAGGGTCTGGCAGAGCAGGCTTTCTGAAGAAGGGGTTTCCACCGGTGCAGATGAACCAGCCTAGTGCCAAAGGCTGGGCAGGAAGGGTCAGAGGACAGAACTCCATCCAGAGGAGGAAGAGCAACAGCAACAACAGCGGGCCCAAGGGAGGGCCCCTGGCTGACAGGAGTGTGGAGGGAAATGAAGAAATCAAAAAAGAGAAAGAGCAGATGGAGAGAGGAGAGCTCCTAGAGTCTGCCCTGTACACCGAAGTAACCTGGATTCTGGTGGCCACGGAAAAGTTTTGGGAATGAGAACCCGAGCAGCCTACTGGTTACCTGGCTTCATCACTTACTTGTGTGACCCTTGACAAGCTAATGAATGTCTCTGAGCCTTGGTTTCCTCATTTATAAGACAGGGATGATTAAAAAAAAAAAAAAATCCCTGGGAGGATGACTGGAAGGGTTGGCGGGATGACCAGGCGGTAAGCGGGTGCTGGCACACCCTGGGCTCTCCGTAAAGGGGTGCCCCTTACTACCTTCTTTGGGAAGAGCTGGACAGATCGCCTGGCGGCGGGTGATTCAGCTGGTAGAGTGGGTCAAATTAGCCGGAAGATTTCTCATGCCAGATTCACACTTCCTGTGGAGACAGATCCGAAAAGGGCTGGCGAAGGTGTTTGTAAACAATAAAAGTGCAATTCAAAGGTTGCCGCCGGCGACAACCCGCGAGGCTCCCGGCAAGAGTCATCCCTTCGCTTAGGGCACGGTCTGAATAGGGCAGCTATGAACATCTTTCCAGTCTTCCCTCCCTGTACAACACACACACCCCAAGCCCCTCTCACCCCCAACCACGTCCAGCAGCAACACCCAGGGTCTCTCTCGGGGGCATGCCGTGTACATTCTCGGTATCGTCCAGCCGATGGAGCTGGAGGAGTGAGAGGAAGGCCAGCTACGGGGCCGAGGGCGGCAAGGGGCCTAGATGGACTCGAGCAGCTCCTAAGGAGAGCGGGGGTCGCTGGCCGGGGAGGGGCGCAGAGAGTCCAGGAGGCCGGGGCGGCCGGGTCCACACCGCCGCCTTCCCGGAGGAAGGCGGGGGCGGGGAGGAGGGCGCTGGAGGAGGCGGAGAGCAGAGGAGGGCGGCGCGCTACGAGGTTATTTGTGGTTCGCTTTGATCCCGAGGGGGAACCTGAAACTCTCACATTCCTGGCATAGCTGCCGCCTCCGGCGCGGGCCGATCCTGGGGCTGCGCGCTGGGGCTGAGCCGCCAGAGCGTCGGCGCCTCAGCCGAGAGCACACCTCCGTCGCCGAGCTGAGCTGAACTGAGCCGGGCCGGGCCGGGCCGGGCCGTCGGATTTGACCGCTCGGAGCACCCGCGGGCCGCAGCGGTAAGAAAGGCCTCTTGGCGCTGCGGGGAGCGAGCGGGGCCGCAGAGACGGACTCCAGCCCGGCCTTTTCCGGGAGAGGAAGCAGAAGCCGAGCGGACCCTGAGTCCTCCAGGAGCGGTGCGCCTTTGCCCGCAACCGGCGGGGCGAGGGCAGCTCCGTCCGGGGGCGCCTTGCAGGTCCCCTGGGAGCTCTCGCAGGCGGCGCGGGTCCCCTGGGGCTGAAGGAGGGGGCAGCCCGTGGGCAGATAGGAGTGGGTGTTTGGGAGCGTGGATCTGGGAAGGAGGCGCTGCTTGGAGCTCAAGTTGCAGGGCCCCGGGGCTAATTTGTTTCGGTGGGGGGGCTTACAGGTGTCTTTCCTCCCTAACTAGCCCAAGAATTCCTCTTTGTCTTCCTTGGAAAATCCTCTCCGGAGCCACGGTCTGGCTCTCACTTAGAAAGAATGCAGCCTGCCGTCCAGCCCGGTGACGTCAGCGCTTGGGCATTTGGAAAACAAAGAGGGCTCGGGAGGGAGGGGGGAGGCGGATCCACGACGCTTAAAGACCTCTCCGGACCACGGCTACCGTCGTCCACCCGCTCCAGGCGCTGCGGCGGCCGCAGGGTGCTCGTGGTCAGCCAGGAGTCCGGGTAGGGCGGGATCCCTTGCTGGGGTGCGATCTGACTTAGAGACCCTCCTTTGGTTCCTTGGGCCAGAGTGAGCCAAGGTAAAGGCCGGAGTTGTGTGGTTGCTTAGAAGCGGGTGTTTCAGAGAGCCCCGCGAGCTAGCGCAGCAGGGGTGCACGATCCGGGTCGGGGGCGCGGATTTTAGTAACAGCTTAGCTGTGTGCATCTGAGAGATTTGACTGAGACAAACGAGGGATGTAAGGCGCGGGAAGTGTTCCCTGTTCTCAGGCACACTGTTGGGGGAGGAGAAGGGCTGGAATCTGTCCGGAAAACTGCATTCCCCGGTTCTTCTCTGCTGGAGTCAGCCCAGACAGTGTTTAATTTAGGAAATGCCCCGTGGATGAAACGCTAGGGCGAACTGAATCCTGTTTGTTTTGCCTCGGGTAACTCTAGAGTCTTGCATCTTCTGTGTGTGTGTGTGTGTGTGTGTGTGTGTGTGTGTGTGTGTGTGTATGCGTGTGTGCGTGCGCGCGCTCATCCTATGTATGTGTGTGCCCCTGTGTATGTGTGTGCCCCCTGTGTGTGTGGGGGTGGATGGGGGGATGATGGGGTCCCGGGAAGTGTGAACACCGAGACGTCCTCCAGACCCACCTCCCTTTCCCCAGTTCTGGGCAGCTGGGAGGAGGGAGTGGGTTGGGAATGGCTGCTCTGCCAGCCAGCCAAGCCCTAACTGAGGCTAGCTCTGTGGCAGAGGAGGGCCACACTCCTTCCACTGTCCTCCTATATACACAGGACCTGTGGAGGTGTGGGTTATGTTTGGTCTTCTCTGAATCCCAGCTGGGAGGTTTGTGTTGGAGAAGGCTGTGGAAAGGACGCCAGGTGAGGCGGACAGCCTTCCAGGCCCTGAGCCGCTGGGAGCACAGGCTCAGAAGGGAGCACCTTCCTCAGGAGACAGTCTCCCTGCAGTTTAGGCGCAGAGTCACCAGCCCTGGGTGCCTGCAGCCAAGAGCCTCCCGCTTGCTCCCGCACCCCTTCAGTCAACTCAAGCAGTCTTGACCATCAAGATGCTGAGTGCCCACCCCCTTGTGCCTCGAGGACCATCAGGCACTTCGAAGGAGCAAGTGTGTGTGTGGCTGGGGTGGTAATCATAAAATCAGAGACATCGTGCCACCCCTTCTTTTTCCTGGAGCACGTGTGCGCTTACTGTCAGGGCGCAGACTATGTGACTGGCCCACAAACCTTGATGGGTGGCACCTTTTTGCCTCCTTTTGCAAAACCACTCTTAGTGTAGTCTCTCTCATCTTTCATCCCTTATTCACCAATCTAGATGCATTTTCTCCTTCCTGTTCACCTTGCAGAGTGACTGCCAAGGTCATCCCATGACAGAGGGGGCTCAGCAGGGTAAAGGGTGGTGAATTAGCTGTGCCAAGGCCATGGCTCAGGCATGCTTCATGCTGTGGGGGCTGTTTGCCTGGGGCTTCTACCAGGCGGGTGCATGCATGCATGCATGCATGCTCAGTTGTGTCCAATTCTTTGCAACACTGTGGATTGTAGCCCACCAGGCTCCTCTGTCTCTGGGATTTTCCAGGCAAGAATACTGGGGTGGGTTGCCGTTTCCTACTCCAGGGAATCTTCCTAACTCAGGGATCCATCCCATGTCTCTTGTGTCTCCTGTATTAGCAGGCAGATTCTTTACCACCTCTACCAAGCAGGACTCATGCTTTATCATCTGTGATAAAGTAGAGGCGGTGCAGTGGTAAAGAATCTACCTGCTAATGTAGGAGACACAAGAGCTTAGTGTTTAAAGCTGAACTAGGCCTGCCCTGGACTTTCTCATCAGGCTCTCTAATGGGAAGCTAACTACAAGAGCCTGAGGTTCCTGGTATCTTTCTCTAGACACAGTTAAATCTCCATGAATATGATTATAATGGCAGTCCTTTGCCAGGGATTTACAGCGCTCTGGGACCTCAATAGCCATTGCCTCTTAATTCTCAACTCCATGAAGCTAGCATTATTTCCATATTTCCGATGAAGAAACTGAGGCTCAGAAGTTAGGTGACTGGCCTTAATCAGTAGGTGGCAGCATTGGCAGTCTGACAGGCATGTGTGCCCCTCCATCGCCTTGCCCTTAACCAGACAGTAATGGAAAGTCCCCGTGTGCTCCCACTGAGGGCTCTTCTTTTTCTCCTCCTCAGGTGCTCTGGGGCGAGGTGCCACTGGCCTTTGTCCAGGTGGGTGTGTGCAAGCCCAGGGAGCATGAGGACTCTGGAAGACTCCTCAGGTACGGTCCTGCACCGCCTCATCCAGGAACAACTGCGCTATGGCAACCTGACTGAGACCCGCACACTGCTGGCCATCCAGCAACAGGCCCTGCGCGGTGGGGCTGGGGCTGGGGCCACAGGAAGCCCCCAGACCCCCCTGGAGATCATGGCACCAGAGGACAGTCAGGTGCTGCAGCAGGCCACGAGGCAGGAACCCCAGGGCCAGGAGCACCAGGGCACCGAGACCCACCTGGCAGAGAACAGCCTCTACCGCCTGTGCCCACAGCCTGGCAAGGGCGAGGAGCTGCCCACCTATGAGGAGGCCAAAGCCCACTCGCAGTACTATGCCTCCCAGCAGGCGGGGCCCTGGCCACACGTGGGGGACCGGGAGCCCCGCGGGCCCCCGGGAGGCAGCCGGAGGCAGGATGAGGCCCTGCGCGAGCTGAGGCACGGGCACGTGCGCTCCCTGAGCGAGCGACTCATGCAGCTGTCCCTGGAGAGGAACGGGGCCCGCACCCCCAGCCACATGAGCGCCTCTCACAGCTTCCCCCAGCTGGCCCGCAACCAGCAGGGCCCCCTAGCCAGGGGCGCCCCCACTGCCGAGGGCCCGGAGCCGCGAGGACCTCCACCTCAGTACCCACACGTCATGCTAGCTCACGAGACCACCTCTGCCGTCACTGACCCGCGGTACCGTGCCCGTGGCAGTCCACACTTCCAGCACGCGGAAGTCAGGTAACTGCCCACCTTGGTCTTGGCCACCAGGCTCTTGGCTTCCTTCCAGTGTAGTTTCCCCCGGGTGAAGAGCCTCCAGGAGGCTGGTGGGCTCCAGAGGAAGGCCGGTGATTCCCTCTCCCTCCCAAGATGGGAGCTAATGCTGGAAGGAAAGAGGGATTTAGCCAGGGTCACATGAGTACTTAGCAGCATCCCTTGCTTTAATTTGGAGACAGACACCATTGCCTAATTGGCTGTAGCCGTCAAGTAACTAGGGTTCTCAGAGGCTGTCAATTAGAGCAGGGGGCTAAAGGTTAGATTTCAGAAAGAACTTCCAAGGACTAGAGTTGGGAATCTTTCCCAAGTTAAGTGGGAAGAAGGTGGGACCTCCTCTGGAGGCTTCTAAAAACAGAAGTCTTTTCCTCTTTGCTGTCCGTGATTTTGGGGAGGCATTCCTAAGTGGAGGCAAGGAAGAAAGGACCAGATGGCCTCCGGACAGATCTCTCCTCTCCTACACAGGGGCAGGAGCTGCCCTGGTACTGCCATCCATTTCCGTTCATGTTCTTCTGTGTGGTCCATGGGGCAGGAGCCTGGGAGAAGGTTCTTGTTCCAGGTGAGCCCCTTTATGTGGAGGCTCCAGAGCAGCTGCCGGTGAGAAACTCAGCTTTTAATTCTGAGAGTGAAAGGAAGCCTTTAGAGGATGTGATTTGGTGTCCCTTTTCAAAAAGGTTCCTCTGTTGCTTGTAGAGAATGGATTCTAGGGGCATGAATGGGAGCAGGGATGCCCAGGAGGGGCAGGAAGCCCAGAGAGTTTTCAGAAATAAGGTTCCTAGAAATGAGGCTTTCATTTGGCCCGGGACCTTCTCCTGAGAAGCTGGCACACGCCCTTTTCACACGCCCTTAATTTTGCCCCCACCCCCCACCCCACACACAGGGGTCCAGGAAACCCCAGTAGGGGGGCCTGAAGGCTTGCAAACCCCCTTCGCCTGGTGCCCCAAGGTTCAAGTCTGGTTTTCTTCGTGCCTGCTGAGTCCTCATTTAGTCACCTGCTTTCCCACTGTGCAACCTTTCCCGGGAAAGATGCCTTTCTCTGCTCTCGAGAAATGAGTGATGTGATGGCTCTGGAATGGAGGCACCAGAGGACTGAGCCTGTGGGTTTTTGCCAGCCTCAAGGCGCCCCCTGCCTTATCTCCCTTCTCAGGGCTTGGTCCTGGAAGAGTTTCAGAAGCTGAGTCGTGGTTTCTTCTCTGGACCATGCTTATGGAGCCCTGTCAGGAAAAGATAATGTCGTGGAAAGGAAGTAGGCTGTTTGCGGGAGGACAAAAAAAAGTGGGGGTGGGGGGAGCAAGTGTGAAGGAAAGGAGGCTCTATTCTTTCTGAGAGCCCAGTCATCCCCAAAGAATGCCATTTGTGTCTGCTTGGCCTGGAGCAGGGGAGCGAGTTGGAGGGAGCCAACCCAAGGTGCCACATTTAGCAACACAGGGAGAGTTTGCACATTCCAGTGGGGTACCCTCTCAGCTCTCACTGGAAGCTCTACCTTGGGCAGGAAAAGAAATACATCTGCCAGCCTCTCCTTCAGCTAATCTGGTGAAGATTGTTTGCTGGGAACTGGCGGCAGGACTTAGCCTTAGGTCTAAGAAGAGCAAGGGATCTGGAGTCTAGAGAGGGAAGGATGAAGGGCAGGGATGAGGGGAAGGGCAGGCATGGGTTCTGAGGCGATGGATTCATCTGGGGCTTCTGGGACTTGGGAAAGCTCCTGGTGAAACTGAGGCAGTCTAATTCTCTTACATCTGGAGCCACGGGGCCCCAGAAAAGCTGTGTGACCCCACATGCTCCTTCCCTTGACATGGGACCCCAGTACCAGAGGCCAGGAGAACACTGTCCCTGACCTCAGGCTATTGTAATAGTTCACAGGTGGCCCCTTCACCCTGGATAATCCGCTGTTTGGGTCACATTTACTCTCTGAGCAGAGAGTAGGCTGTGGTCTCCACTGGAAGAGACAGAGGGTGGGCTGTCACTGTGGAGATGCCCGCTGCAGGCCCAGCACTCTGCCAGGCAGATGTGGCCCTGACAACCTGCCTGAGGCTAGAGACTCTCACCCTCCTAACTGGGCATGGTCCCCTGCACCATGGACTCAAACAGTGGAGCCAGAATTTGAATGCCTGATCTGTCAGACTCTGGAGCCCAGACTCAGCCTGACATCTGTCTCACCACTCTAACCTTAGCCACAGTCTTCTAAAAATGTTTCTTCAAGGGGTGACGGGACTCAGAATAGGAGGGAGAAGAAGCGAGTGTGCTGCGTGGGCAGGTGTGTGTGGAGGGCCTGACACCAGCAGTGGGAACAGACAGGGTAGCTGCTGGGGCCCAGGGGCCTGGAAGGTTGTGAGTTTCAGTCATGATGAGTGTGACCTCCAGACTCAAAAAGAGCTGCCTATGGCTGGGACTGTTCAGGCTGATCCCCAAGGCCTGGACCACAGGAGGCTGGGCATGAAATAAGTGTGCTGATGGTAATGCCCTGCTTCCCTGGCCCTTGAGGGTCTTGGGACACCAGGTGGAAAGGCCTTCCCCAGAGGTTACTGCCTAACGCTGCAGGAAAGCTGTCTGCCCGGGAGGGCTGGGGCAGTTCTCTGTGGCTCCGTGGTCTCTGAGGACCGTCTCTTCTGTCCCCCAGGATCCTGCAGGCCCAGGTGCCCCCTGTGTTCCTCCCGCAGCAGCAGCAGCAGTACCAATACTTGCAGCAGCCTCAGGAGCGCCACCCACCCCCACACCTGGCCGCCCTCAGCCCTCCTGGGGTGGAGGGCCCGGCAAGCACCCAGGCCTCTTTGGCCACCTCGGGCAGCACCCACCTGGCCCAGATGGAGACCCTGCTGAGGGAGAACGCCAGGCTGCAGAGGGACAATGAGAGATTGCAGAGGGAGCTGGAGAGCACAGCGGAGAAGGCTGGCCGCATCGAGAAGGTAGGCCCTGCTGAGGCCTCAGAGAAGCAGGGGGGAGGAAGGGAACCCCAACAGGGCTGACCAGGGAGGGGGCTGTCAGAAGGGAGGCAGAGGAGTCTGAAAGCTGGTCTGGCTGGGCTTCTCAGCTGCCCCTCGGGCCCCCCACCCCCATCCCTCATGCACCCCTCCCTGGCTGACTCCAGACAGCTGGGGAGCAGCCGGCAGAGCAGGCCCAGAGCACGAGCAGTTGCTGCCCAGTGGTGGTTAGAAAGAGCCCATTCACCGACTCCCTCATGGTCGCACCCTTCCCCTGCACACACCCCCTCCGTGGACACCTCCCACAGAGAGCCCTTTGTATCCCCCACACAACAGCAAGTCTGTTCCAGGCCAGCCCTGGTCACAGGGAAAGCCCCTCCTCTTGGCAAAAAATGAGCGACTTATTGGAATCACGGGCCAGCTAGGAGCACGTGCGGAACCTGCCAGCTGCCAAGTGGGTGGGGCATCCGGGGCCAGGCTGGCCCTGTGGGGTGAGGGCTGGAGGGGCACATACTCCAGGCAGCTCAGGCTGGATCTGGTGCTCCCTTCTTAGTGAAGGGTCACCTGCTGTGCACTCAGCCTTAGCAGGTAGCCTTAGGCTTCCTGTGACCATCCCGTGATCTCCAAGATAGGTCCACCCCCCAGACCACGGTTGGAGCCTCAGTGCCTGATCCTGGTCCATTGTGCTCAAATTTCTCACTAGAAGCCAAACAAAAGGAAAATGCTCTTTTTGGCCACTAGGCACCAGGAAGCTGCCCTCGGTCACCCTGGAGGCAGCCCCTTCCAGAGAAAGTGGCCTTGTGTTCACTGAGGACCTTGGGACATAGAGGGGACCCTGGCTTGCCTGTTCCAGCAGTCTGGTCCCTCTCTGGAGGCTACAGGCTGCAGCCTGTCCCACTCGGGCTAGGTGGGTTTTCTGCTGTGGCTCTGTATATTCTCTCACCCTTTGTGATGGAGAGTCAGCGATCAACCCTGGCCTAAGGAGGGGACCTTGATGCCACTGCCACCCAGGGAGATTTCCCCTTCCTTCAGCTCTGCTCTCTGCCTCTTGCAGCTGGAGAGCGAAATCCAGCGGCTCTCCGAGGCCCACGAGAGCCTGACAAGGGCCTCTTCCAAGCGAGAGGCCCTGGAGAAGACCATGCGGAACAAGATGGACAGTGAGATGAGGAGGCTGCAGGACTTCAACCGGGATCTTAGAGGTGAGGACCGCTCACGCAGGTGGAGGAGCAGAGAGCACCTATGGACAGCTTGAGTCCACTGTTCTAGGACATCATTCAGAATCTCTGTCCTCTGCAAAAATAGTATAAATCAACTCAAAGGGGACTAGACTGAGACTCGTTGGGGGCCACCTTGATAGAGAGATGCTTGTCTCTGTGTTCTAGACCTCGGGGCCCTCCTGGAGCTCTCACCCATGTGGCCCAGGGTGACCTGGGGCTTCCCTATGAGCCCACCCCCAGCTTGGAGAATGCAGCCTGACAAATCCCTGGTTGGGGTGGCGGGGGGTCACCCCAGCAGGCAGCTTCCCCTGTACTCAAACCTTTCTCCTTAAAACATCTTTTCTTCATTTGAAACAGAAAGATTAGAATCTGCAAACCGCCGCCTGGCAAGCAAGACGCAGGAGGCCCAGGCAGGCAGTCAGGACATGGTGGCCAAGCTGCTGGCTCAGAGTAAGTAGGGGGCCCACTCAGGAGCCCAAGCAGAGGTGTGGCTGGTGGGACCAGGAGAGCTCCTCTTGAGGGAGGGTTGGCCTCCTCTGCCAAAGCAGGCTTGGAGTGTGGCTTTACCGAATGCCCACTATGCACCCATCACTGGACTGGACTCAGGGGAGGGGCAGCTTCCCAAGAGGAGCAGGATCTGGTTCCCTGTGTACTGGGGAGATCAGTGGGTCGAAGGACAGCTGTGGAGGTGTGCTGACCGTCAGTTCAGTGTCCTTTAGAAGCAGTTGAGGAGAGCCGAGCACTCGGGAAACAGGTGGGATGAGAGAGAAGGAAGAATCTGAGTCTCCTGGGGGTGGACATGCGGAAAGCTGGGGAGCATGGTGAGGCTGGGCCATAACAAGTGTTGGCCAGCCAAAAATGGAGCTTCACGAACAGGGCACCCTAAAGAAGGAGGTCAGGAGGCTCCCCTAAAAAGGATAGTCAAAGGCTTCTTGAAGAACAGATGCGTTCATTGTTGACTAGCCCATGCAGTCACTCATTTGTTCTCCAGCACAGCTGTGCTGAGCCCCTGGCAGGAATGCAGCAGAGTGGGAACAGGTCAGGAAGGTGCCAGGACAAGGTCAAGAGAGGTGGGCAGCTTGAGGAAGGAGCAGGGTCTTCCTACCATGGATTCCAGGGAACAAGGATGGTCTGGCCCCAGAGGCCAGTGATGGGGGGTGGTCCCCAGCACACTGAGAGAGGGGTATTGTGGGGTGGCAGGTGAAGCAGCAGCAGGATAGCTCCAGTGGAGGTGGAAGCAGTTTGAAGGAAGGGGGGACAAAGGAAGCCACCAACTCAATAGTAGGAAGAACCCTATAGGCTTCAGAAGAGACAGAGAGGCGGTTATTGATAAGCTCCTCCCGTATGCTACTGCCTGCAGTAGTGCTTTTGAGTGTTTGCAAAGGAGTGCACTGGGGCAGCTGGTGTCTGGGCAAGGCTGCCTTGGAGGAAGGAGGAACCCCTGCAAAAGCTTACTGAGCTTAAGCTAGATGGCTGGGGATGTCTGGAAGCAGAGAGGCAGCTTGAAGACTGAGCTCTGGCTAGCAGCACCTACCTCCTCAAGCAGGGCTCAGGCCTGGACAGGGTGGCCCCCAGGGGAATGGGGGAGTGCAACGCTGAAGGGCTGAGGGTTGAGGGTGGGCTGGAGGTAGGAGGAGGTGACTGAAGGTCTCTGGGAGGGAGAGGATGGTGGTCAGGGCTGGGGAGTGGGGATAGCTCTGGGGGGTCTCTTCATTGCCAGTCCGGAGAGGACGAGTTGCTGGAAAGGGGCAGAATGGGGCCAGGCTTTGCCAAAGAAAGGAAGTCACGGGCTGGTTCCTGGGAGCAGGCAGGGGAGGGGCCCGGGGCTGGCCAGCCTGGAGGCGTTTCCGCTGCCTGGGGAGCGAGGCTGTTCTTGGCTCCTGGCTGGAGCCATTAATCTCCAAGCGGCGGGTGACCTGGATGCCGGGCATTCCTGAGCCCGGGCTGTTCCGCTGCGCGGGCCTCCCCCTCCCCCCACACTCCTGCCTGTGCCCCGCCCGCCACGCTGCAGGGGATGGACAGTGGGACAAAGGGACTGGGACTTGTTTTCCCAGTGGCACCTTGCTTCCCCCAGGGAAGGCCTCCTGCTCCCTCCACTGCTCCCCAGCCCATGTCCCCCTTCTGTGTCTCCCGCCTGGAGGCGGCCGCATCCTCCCCCCAGAGTTTTATCCTGGTGGCTGGGGATGGCCAAGGTCTCAAGCCTCGAGCTCTACCAGGGCCTTCAAAGTTAAAGTGTTAGCTGCTCAGTCACTTAAGACTATTTGCAATCCCATAGACTGTAGCCGGCCAGGCTTCTCTGTCCGTGGGATTTCCCAGACAAGAATAATGGAGTGGGTTGCCATTCCCTTCTCCAGAGGACCTTCCTGACCCAGGGATCGAACCTGAGTCTCCTGCATCTTAGGCTGATTCTTTACTGTCTGAAGAACCAGGGAAACAGCCAGGGCGTTTGAGGTGTGCAAGGTAGCAGGAACCTTCTGGAAGCCAAAGGCTGGGTCCTTTGTACCCTCCCCAAGGGCTGAGGAAAGCCAAACTACCCTTCCTTGCTCCTGACATCCAGGAGCAAGAATCCTCAGGAAACCAGAATCCTCAGGGAAAATGTCTGTGGTTGATCTCACCTTTTTTCCAGAGTCAGTGTTAGTAGGAGAGTGTGGCCCCTATCACCAGTGCCATCTGCTTTCCTACTAGGCAAGCGGTACAGACTCCCAGCTCTGGTCAGGCCCTGCCCACCCTGGGCATCTGGCCGTGAGTCCTGAGGCCTGGTTCTCCCAGCCGAGTCCCCCTTGGGCAGTTTCCTCTCACCCAAACCCCAGATTTTGAGGCTGTAAGATGGGACCATCTAAGACTGGGATGAGCTGCCAGCCTCTGACTAACTCTATTAGCTGTCCATCGCTGTGAAGCCTCCCAGGACAGGGCCGTTGTCTCTGGGTCCAAAGTCCCAGTCAGCACTCCTGCCTGCCCCCTCCACCCCATTCAGGTGTCAGGCCAGCTCAGGATGAAAGGCCCAGTGTTACTGAGTTTCACCAACTTTTCCCTTTGCCCCAAAGAATGAGGTGGGCCTGGGCCCAGCCTTCAAAAATTCAGAGTGAACCAGAGCCGACCTGGGTGGCCTGTGTCCTCCTGGGCCCTGTGTAATTGAAACCTTTCTGCCTGCTGGATCTCAAGCCTTCACTCTTCTGTTCCAGGGTCTATACTGTCCTTTCTGATAGGTATTTAGCCACATGTGGCCCAAAGATGAAAATTAATTAAAATGAAATAAAATGAAAAGTTTGACTCCTCCCTGGCACTGGCCACATTGCAAGCGCTCACTGGCCACATGTGCCTAGTGGCTGCTGCCCTGCTTGGCACAGTGTAGAGCAAGTCCGTTATAGCAGAAAATTCCGCTGTGCTGTGACAGTGCTGCTCGAGAGATGGTGCCTTTGAGTCCATCAGGCAGGCCCCTTGACTGGTCCCCCTCTGCCTTCCAGCAAGGCAGGCAGCCTGCACACTAGGGGTGAGGGTGGGGGTGCCTGGTTCTTGAGAGGCAGGCGAACTTTGATCCCTGCCTGGCAGGACCATTCACCTCCTGTTTCCTCCTCTTTAAGGTGGGGATCACAGATCCCCGGACTGTCACTGGAGGCTTCAGGGAAATAAGATGTGTAAATGCCTGACTCCTGGGGCAGCACATGGTGGTTCTTCCACCGTGACAGTTGACCACGTGACAGTCCATCGGAGCCTCTGTTTTCTCATCTGGAAATGGGCATCGCGGTTCCTGCCTGCCCAGTCTCTAGTATCACCATGAGGCTGAAGGGAAGCTGTGAATGTGTTTTGGAGATGGTGACACCCAGCGCAGGTGGACAGTGTCTCGGGCTGTCTCCTGGCAAGGCCACGTCCCAGCAGAGGAGCAGTGTGGCCCAGTTATCACTGCAAGGGCCCTGGTCTGACATTGACATTTGCTCAGGCCTTAACCTGAACTTCAGTTTCCTGGCCTATACAATGGGGTTAATAAGGGTACCTAACTCCTGTGTTACTGAGAAGATGCAGTCAAGCTTTAGCGGCGGTCAGCACAGAGCGTGGCACGTGGTGGGTGCTCTATGGGGCAGTGAGGGAGCTGCCATCCCTGACCAGGCCCCTCCCTCTCTCGCTGCAGGCTACGAGCAACAGCAGGAGCAGGAGAAGCTAGAGCGGGAGATGGCACTGCTGCGCGGAGCCATCGAGGACCAGCGGCGGCGGGCCGAGCTGCTGGAGCAGGCCCTGAGCAATGCACAGGGCCGTGCGGCAAGAGCTGAAGAGGAGCTGCGGAAGAAGCAGGCCTACGTGGAGAAGGTGGAACGGCTACAACAGGCCCTGGGGCAGCTGCAGGCTGCCTGCGAGAAGCGAGAGCAGCTGGAGCTACGTCTGCGGACGCGCCTGGAGCAGGAACTCAAGGCCCTTCGTGCACAGCAGGTGAGCTGGGAAGGCCCCAGAGCCCCTATTGAGATCCAGGCCGAGCCCTTTTGGAAAGTTAGGACCACCTGGGCTAGCATTGCCGAAGGCCCCTCCCGGCCCATCAGTCTCAGCAGAGGCCTTGCCCCTTGGCCATATGCCAACCTCAGGGACTCGGAGCCTTGGGCCTGTGTCCTCAGCAGCAGCCGGGATTGGCACCCTTGGTCTCTGGAGAAAGTCTCTCAGGAGTTGTGATGGAGGGGACTAGCCAGCTCTTATGTGTCTCTCTGAGATCAGGAGTGGGAAAGATAGTTGCACAGATCCTGAGCCTTTATCCTCACTTTGGTCTGTGTAAATAGCTCTCGTGTTTACAGACCAGATAGAGTTCTGTCTCCACCACTAACCTCACCCTTCCCACAGAGGTAGGGTGGCCAGAGTTCCTGGATTGCTGGGGTCTGTCGTAGTTTACACCAATTGTCCTGTGTCATTAAGTCACCCCTTCCCCAGTTCAGTGTATATGTTCACTGGGCAAAAGCAAACCCAATCTCCTCTGCGCCCTTGGCCACAGTATTTGGGGCAAGGGTGTGGGGACCTGTGGCTCTCCTTTGTCTCCTGCTGGAAGCAGGCTGTGCAGAGTGCGTGGTGCCAGCTGACCAACCACTGGCTTCAGGGAGATTCCTCACGTGGCGGTGAGAACCTGTGGCCAACACACCCCACCCACCACCCCTGACCATGGTACACCCCTCTCTCTGCAGAGACAGGCAGGCAGCCCCGGAGGTGGCGGTGGCAGTGCTGGGACCCCGGAGCTCAGTGCGCTGCGGCTCTCGGAGCAGTTGCGGGAGAAGGAGGAGCAGGTGCTGGCGCTGGAAGCTGACATGACCAAGTGGGAACAGAAGTACTTGGAGGAACGTGCCATGAGGCAGTTCGCCATGGATGCGGCCGCCACGGCCGCCGCCCAGCGCGACACCACTCTCATCCGGCACTCGCCCCAGCCATCACCCAGCAGCAGCTTCAATGAGGGCCTGCTCACCGGCGGCCACAGGCATCAGGAGATGGAAAGCAGGTTGGACACTGCAGGCCGGGTACCTGCGGCAGGGGGTTGGGGATAGGGTGGGATTTGTCCAGCCCTTGCCTGGTCCTTAGGTCTTCCCTGGACGGTTAAGAGTCTGCAGGAGACGGGTTCAATCCCTGGGTTGGGAAGATGCCCTGGAGAAGGAATGGCAACCACTCCAATAGTCTTGCTTGGAGAATTCCATGGACGGAGGAGCCTGGCGGACTACAGTCCATGGGGTCGCAGAGTCGGACTTGACTGAGCGACTTCATTTCTTTTCTTTGCCTGGTCCTTAATCCATGATAATTCATGTTAAATACCCCTCACTCTGCCCAGCCTAACAATCCCTCCTACTTCTGAGCTGATCCCCTGCTTTTCAGCACAGCCAGCATTACAGGCTATTCTTTCTCAGAGGTGCCAACCGAGTCGTTGGTCTGCCCAGGAGACTCCACTCTTGGATGACACCCAAGGCTCCAGGCTTCCACCTGCTCCCCCACCTCGCACCGTGTAAATCAGAGAATTAGAATTCCCTGGTGGCTCAGACAGTAAAGCATCTGCCCACAATGCGGGAGACCTGGGTTCGATCCCTGGGTTGGGGAGATCACCTGGAGAAGGAAATGGCAACCCACTCCGGTGCTCTTGCCTGGAAAATTCCATGGATGGAGGAGCCTGGTGGGCTACAGTCCATGGGGTCGCAAAGAGTCGGACACGACTGAGCGACTTCACTTCACTCACCCTACATGCTAGGTACCACCCCAGAGTGAATGTGGCCTAGGCCCCTGGCCTGTGGGGAGCTGGAATTTCACTCTGGAGACAACTTAGAGGCCCCACAAAATTTCCGTTTGACCTCTTCCTGGCTCAAAAACACAAGCAATCAACTTAGCTCCTTTGATCAACAGCCCTACTACCATCATCAGACGAACCCAGAACCTACCCCTGGGTTTGCCAGTGTGGAAATGGCCCCAGCCTCTCATGCACTGGTAGTTTTCAAAGCCTCCCATTGCAGAGCTCTGATGGCACTTCTGAAGGCCCCATCCTGGCTTTGAGGAAGGCTTACCCTCCGACTTCCGTGAGGCGGGGAGGGCGGGGAGGCCATAGGATCTGTGGGTCCGAAGATGCAAACACGGCCTCTCACCCCTCAGGTTGAAGGTGCTCCACGCTCAGATCCTGGAGAAGGATGCGGTGATCAAGGTTCTTCAGCAGCGCTCCAGGAAAGACCCTGGCAAGGCTGCCCCAGGCCCCCTGAGGCCTGCCAAGTCCGTGCCATCTGTCTTCGTGGCTGAAGCAGCAGGGACCCAGGGCTGGCAAGGACACTCCTCCAGCGAGCGGCACGTGGATGCCTCTGCCCAACTGGCTGCAGGTGAGAGGAGGTGGGTGGGTGGCAGAGGCTAGGTTGTTCTCAGGCCTTTCCTTCCAGAACTGAAGCTCGGAGAAGCTAGGCGTCCCAACTCCTCACCCAGGGGAGCCGGCTTACAGTCTGGCTCCAGTGACCTTGCAGCCTGCAGCTGTCCCCTGGTGTGACAAGGCAGACTGTAGCCCCCATCTCTGGAAATTCCACCACCCTGGCCCCAGCCGCTCACCATCAAAGTAAAAATAAACTTCCCCTGCAGAGGTACCTCCTGGGCCAGCACTTCTACTTCTCCTCCTAAGCAGACGCCACGAAATCCAGGAATTCTTACTGTTTTAAGATTTAATCTACAACCTTTTAAGAAGGCTTCTTCCACTCCAAGCTTTTGGAACCCAGTCCTGTTTGGAAACAGGAGTGTAATCAAAGTTCTTGCAAATCATGAGCAACTAGCATCCCCAGGAGGTGTCGTTAAGTTAGGGTCTTCTTCATGGGGGTCCACATATTGTGGACAGGGCAGTAACTGAAACTCCTGCCTTCCTAGCAGACAGGGCCCCACTGGAGGAGCCTGTGACTGTGGCTCCCCTCGCTGCCCACGCCAAACATGGGAGCAGGGATGGGAGCACCCAGACTGATGGCCCCCCAGACAGCCTGGAGCCTGACAGCCTTTTGGGGTGCAGCAGTGGCCAGAGAACAGCCTCACTGGGTAAGTCTCCCCCAACTTTTGTGGGTGGCTGAGGGCACCCTGGGGTGTGAGCCCCGCCCCCACTCATTGCCCACACTCAACGGGGAGCCCTGCATAGGGAGGGTGAGCAGGATGTGGGACCCACCTCAGTACTGGGGAGAGAGCTGGTCGGATATAGGAATAGGGGAACTGGAAACCCTCATTACAAACAGATCTACCTGGGAGGCCCTTTATCTCCTCTTCAGAAGTCTTCCTTAGATCTTTAATGGCCAATCTGGACATCTAAGATCGTGGAGTTTGGCACTCCCAAGTTAGAAGACTTTGTTTTAAAAGAGTCCCTGAAGGAGAAATTTGAGAAGATGCCATTGAATGTGTTTGCTCTCTTTCACATTAGCCTTTGCATAGTTGCTTATGCCTCACCAGCTCAGGGAACCACAGGCATGAAAAGAATGTGGTGGCCTCCCTCCCTCTGTGCTCTCCACCCTCCCTCCAAGCCCTCCAACCACTTCCTAGTTATAAACATTTGCATCTTCCACTCTGGAGGCTGGTGGTCTGGATGGAGAGCTGGGAGGGAACAGAGCTCTGTGATTGGTTGACCAAGTTATGGGGACCTGGGCAGCTGAGGTGGGAAAAGTTGGTGAAGATAGAGCCTATCTTTAAAATGTTATTGGATTTAAAAGACTAGTCTAGTAACCCTGGTTGGCATGTGCCTGTGCTCTTATCTCTCCAGACTCTGTTGCTACATCCAGAGTCCAGGACTTTTCCGACATGGTGGAGATCCTGATCTGAAGGAGGTGGCACCTTGGGGACTCTGAACCGTTTCCTGCTGCCCTCTGCCACACGGCCATTCCAGCAGGATGCCTCATGGGAGAGGGAGCTGTGAGCATCCGTCCCCCGAGAAGACCCTGTTCCCTAGCCCCGTGCCCCTCCTGGGCCCATGCAGCCTGAGGACTGGACCTTTACCTGGCTTGCTGCCAGGGTAGCAGTTGAAAGCTCAGAAGGGAGTAGTGCACCCACACTGGGCACTCGGGCAGGGAGGGAGGGGATATGTTGGTTTGGGGGCTGATTTCCAAGGATGGCTGCCCATGGACTCCAGGTGGCCTGGCTCAGTGTGGTCCCTCCACCTCCATCTGCTCCTCAGCTCCTCACTGCCTCCTGGGGATCACCCAGACTTGAATCTTGGCGGCCTGTTGAGCGTGCTAGTCCTGCAGAGGCCACAGCGTCTCCTGCACTGTGGAGAGGACTGGGATGTGCCGTGCAGTTTGTACATAATTCCCTTTCTTGTGAAACAGAAGATTGAAGTGGGCTGCTTCAGATTCGCCCCCTCATTCCATGCTCCCAGCCCTGCTGCCTCGGTTCCTCCCAGTTATCTCCCCTTCTCAAGTCCCTGGTCCATGGATTTTGTTACTGCTTGATCCACGGGATGTTGGCTGCTTTTTCCCCATCTTGAGCCCTGTTTGAAATGCCCAAGGGACCTCACCACCACCAGTCTCTTGAAATGGCTCCACAGCTCCTGTCCCTGGGACATCTTGTCAGTTTGGTTATGAACCCTGAGCTAGATGAAGTCCGCCACCACGCCGATCTGCCGTGGTGGGCTTCCCAGCACCAGTTCTCTGAAAGGAAACTGGAGAGATGGCCTTGTTCTCATCAGAGTCTTTGTTCCCCCTGGAGGCACTGGGAGAGGGAACTGTGCTGGTGAGAACTAGTCCATGAGCTGTAAGACATGACTCAGATGGTCCTCTGAATGGAGCCCCATCACAGCATGGCGCCCTGAGGCTGGCTCCTCAAGCCGCCAGCGCGCATCACCCTGAAACAGGGCCAGTGCTTGGGAACTGGAGTGAAGTGTCCGATGGCAGCCTGCCAGTGGCAGGGACTTTTACTTCTGGTCTTAAAGAGTCTCCCAACTCAGCCCCATGAGTGACTGGTGGGTTTTAGTGGTTTGTCTCAACTGTTTTTAGTTCTCCTTGAGTCTTTGTTTTTGTTTTGTTTTTCTTTTACTGTTTTTAGGTTTTTGTATGTGTTATTTTATTCCTATGGTTCCTCAAGTTTCCTTTTTAAACATTCGCATTTGCTGGACAATTGCATATTTTTTTAAATCCCCCTACCCCTCTGTAAAACTGAAAAGTGCATTTGGTTCATGTGCATTGTTTACAAAACAAAAAGAAAAAAAGAGAAAAAGGCAAAAAAATATTGTGAAAGGAAAAAAAAAAACAACTTAATATATTTTGGATTAATATTTGGTATTTCTTTTTAAAGTATTTTTTTTGTGCTGTGAACATTTTCTGCCAAAGACCATGATGTGTGTCTGTATGTTTAAGTTATCGTGAATATTTAAAATGTAAACATGGCTGTTTTGTTATGCTACCCTGTACCAGGATTGCTGCTGCATTCCACTGGGTATAACAGTATTTTAATTAAAAAAAATTTTTTTTTAATTAGAAGCAGTGTGTTTGTACAAGTGAGGGACTGCACTGAGGGGTAAAGGAGAGACGGAAGGGACTTCGGGAGGGGGCCTCCCATGTCAGTCCCCAAACACTCCCAACACTAAGCTACACCCCCACTCTTCCACTGTGCTCCTGGGCGCCTTGGTTCTTAAACACCAGAGTATGTCCATAAGCCGCCAGCTCAGTAACTGCTGTCTCTCATAGGAGAGGGGTGAAGGGTGCTGGCTTCCATTTTCTGATAGTGGGCAACCTTGGGGCAAGGCAGGTCCCTCCTTAATTGCAAAGCTTGGAGTATACACAGTGTAATCTCTTCGAGGATCCAAAATTCCTGTGAATTTGGTGAGGCTGCATGAAGAGGAGGGCTGGAATGAGGATGTGGTTGGCATTCCCCTTTCCAGAGAACATTTCTGTCAATCTGGGAGGGTCCGGCAGAGGGGCAGCCTCCTCAGGTAGCTTTGTCCTAAAGAGCTTTGTTTGGCCACATGCTGTGGTGACTCCACAGTGGGCCAAGGTGTCTGAAGGTGGCTTTATCCTTCCCTCCCCTCGCCCAGCACAGAGTCCTTGTTGGGACCGTTGGACAGACAGGGTTCTTTGCTGCGTGTACACTGGTAGAGGGTCTTCATAGTTTTGGGCACTGCTTCCTTCCCAAGCTGTGGCATCACCACTCCTGTCCCAGGCCCAGAAAAGCATACCACTCCAATCCACAAAAGAAAACCATCCTTGTATCAGAAACAAAGCCTCTGCCTCTGTGGGCCAGTTGGCACACTAAGGTTCCCTACCAGGACGTGGGCTGGCAGGCAGTGGGCAGCCAGAGAGGCCAGTGATGGGAACAGTCACCCCCATGGCCATGAGTGAAGGAGTTTCAGGGTAGGTGTAGGGACTCAGCACACATGTTGTTTTTTGTTTGTTTTTGTTTTTTTTAGCCATGTTGTTTCTGTTTTCTGGTGGTTTTTTTTAATTGGAGGATAATTGCTTTACAATGCTGTGCTAGTTTCTGCCATACAACATGAATCAGCTATCAGTTCAGTTTAGTTCAGTTCAGTCGCTCAGTTGTGTCCAACTCTTTGCGACCCCATGGACTGCAGCACTCCAGGCTTACCTGTCCATCACCAATTCCCGGAGCTTGTTCACACTCATGTCTGTCAACTGGGTGATGCCATCCTACCATCTCATCCTCTGTCATCCCCTTCTGCCTTCAATGTTTCCCAGCATAGGGTCTTTTCCAATGACTCAATTCCTCATATCAGGTGACCAAAGTATTGGAGCTTCAACTTCAGCATCAGTCCTTCCAATGAATATTTAGGACTGATCTCCTTTAGGATCGACTGGTTTGATCTTGCTATCCAAGGGACTCTCAAGAATCTTCTGCACCACAGTTTAAAAAGCATCAATTCTTAGGTGCTCGGTTTTCTTTATCGTCCAACTCTCACATCCATACATGACTATTGGAAAAAGTTTTGACTAGATAGACCTTTGTTGACAAAGTAATGTCTCTGCTTTTTAATATGCTGTCTAGGTTTGTCATAGCTTTTCTTCCAAAGAGCAAGCATCTTTTAATTTCATGGCTGCAGTGACCATCTGCAGTGATTTTGGTGCCCAAGAAAATTAAAGTCTCTCACTGTTTCCATTGTTTCCCATCTATTTCCCATGAAGTGATGGGACCGGATGCCATGATCTTAGTTTTCTGAATGTTGAGTTTTAAGCCAACTTTTTCACTCTCCTCTTTCACTTTCATCAAGAGGCTCTTCAGTTCCTCTTCGCTTTCTGCCGTAAGGGTGGTGTCATCTGCATATCTGAGGTTTTTAATATTTCTCTTGGCAATCTTGATTCCAGCTTGTGCTTCATCCAGCCTGGCATTCCTCATGATATACTCTGCACATAGGCATGAACCAGCTGTATATATACATACCTCCTCTCCCAGCCCCCCACCCCATCCCTCTATGTCATCACAGAACACCAAGCTGAGCTCCCTGAGCTATAGAGCAGCTTCCCGCTAGCTATCTGTCTTACACATGGTAATGTATATATGGGGGCTTCCCAGATGGCACAGTGGTAAAAAAAAAAAGTCCACCTGCCAATGCAGGAGACACAAAAGATACAGGTTCAGTCCCTGGGTTGGGAAGATCCCCTGGAAAAGGGCATGGCAACTCACTCCAATATTTTTGCCTGGAAAATTCCATGGCCAGCGGAGACTGGCAGGCTACGGTCCATTGCAAAAGCAGGACATGACTGAGCAACTGAGCATGCACATGGTATATATATGTCAACCCTGCTCTCTCAATTCATCCCACCCTCTCCTTCTGCCGCTGTGTCCATGTCTGTTCTTCACGTCTGCATCTCTCTTCCTGCCCTCAGCATTCATGTTGATAAGTATCTGAGGCAGGATCCTAGAGACTGACCTCCTGAGTCAGCCTTACCTGCCAAAAAGAGATGGAACCAAACAGATAGAGGACTTGGGAACATCCAAGGACCTTTTTAGCAACTTTGCTGATAGCGTGGCCCAACACAAGGCACCCCAAGTCCACGCTTCCACCCCAGCCCCCGCAGGCCACCTCCCACCAGGCAGGCAGCACCGATGCCCATCTCGTCCTAGATTAGGATTTGCTGTGTGGAGTGTGAGTAGGTTGCCCTCCTCAGTTGCAGGCCTGGTCCTCGGAGGTGGCCTGAAGAGCAGAGCCGCTGCTCCCATCTGCTTCTCCTGGCCATACCAGCCCACAGAAACATTTACTAAGGTGTATCCAGACAAAACAGCAGCGCCTGCAGGGTGTTCCAAAGAACAGCCTGGCAACGAGGTTCCTGTCCACTTCCACCTGCCCCCAAAAGAGCCCTGGAGGGCAGCTCAGACCCAGTGCAGTAAGGCCTGATGAGGGCACCATCCCATCCCCAGCACCTTGGTCAGGGGCTTGTAAAGCATCTTTAGGGCCCTTTGCAAGAATTCAGTCCATCAAGAGTCACTTTAGTTTTTCCTTTGCATAGACCAGGCGGTCGAAGAAACCAGTGTACCTGACGTACATACATGTGTGCATGTATGTGTCTGTACATGTAAGTGCCTGAGTCTGTCCCACAAAGAAAGACAGGAAGGACATCTATTTCTGACTGGTGTCCTTCCTGGGTCACCACAGTGTCCAGTGACAGGGTCACCAGGGGGTGTGAAGAGCCATGTCTTCTCAAGCAAGGGGTTCGGTCAGCTTCTCACTGCCATTTAAAATACAGCCTAGGGATTTCCCTGATGGTCCAGTCGCTAGGGCTGTAAGCTCCCAATATAGGGGGCCTGGGTTCGATCCCTGGTCAGGGAACTAGATCCCACCTGCTTCAACGAAGACAGAAGATCCCGCATGCTGCAACTAAGATCCAGAGCCGCCAAATAAAATTAAAAAAAAAAAAGAGGAAAGAAAGATAGAGAGAAATGCAGCCTGGCAGAGCTGTGGAGCAGGTGAGCCACAGGCTGGTGTGGGGGTGGGGGGGGGAGGGGAGGGGGGCTGGCCCTGGGGAGGGGAGTGTCTGCCCACATGCCTGGGCACCAATGACAAGTGGGCCTGGGCCATGATGAGGCCAGTCCCTGAGTCCCACTGGTATCTCTGTTGGGCCCTTGGAGGCCAAGTTCCTCTCTGAGGGACAGCTCTGCTCTGCCCGCCCTGCCCCCACCCAGCGCCTCGGCCAACAGGGTTGGGAGTGCAGCTCAGGAGGGGCCCCCACCGCCCCAGAGGGCCGGAAGGCTGCCTATGGGCGCTGTCCCAAGCCTCTCCTTTCTCTCACCTCCGAGTTAATGGTTAACTCTTCCCCGTCCCCAGCAGTGTCGGTAGCAGGCTCAGAGGCCTTGGTAAATATGCCAAGATGGGGGCAGCAAAAGGGGACCCAGGGGCCCAGAAGTGGCTAAAGCCCCTCCACCAGCCCCAAGGACCCAAGCCGGATAGGACCTTGTTTGCGGTACCAGCATCTTGTCCCCCAGCTCAGTGAGGACCCGGACAGTA